GGGCGCTGGGGGGGCGGCCCAGGGAGGAACCCCCCATGGCTGGCTGGCCCAGCCCCATCCCCCACCCAGCCCCAGCCTCCCGGCATCTTAAAAGGAGGGCTGTGGGGCTGTGCTGGATGCTTCCTGGGGGGTGTAGCCCCCTGGATCTGGACACGGGATTCCAGCAGGCTACTGCTGCTGGCTGGGGCCAGTGCCAGCACTGGGTTCTTTCCAGTGTTCAGTGTGGTCTGCACTGAGTAGACTCGAGTGCTGCCGCTGGCCCCAGCTGGCAGCAGCATGCTGTCATCCCTCACACAGATCTGGGGTCCCACACCACCACCCCCAGAGGGCTGCAGGGCTGTGCCAGACTCCTCCCAGGAGTGTGGGCCCCTGGATCTGTGAATGGGATGATAGCAGGCTGCCGTCCCTCCCCCAGAGCACTGGGATTGGAAGGGACCTCAGGGACAGATCTCAGACACAGCCAAGCCAGAGATGTCAATATCAGAGCTGTCCTTTCCCCGCCCCTTCCCCCTCTCTCTTCTGAGTTTCTGTTTCCCCACAAGTTCACCTCTGAAACATTCCAAAACATTCAAAACATGTCTGAAACATTTCAGATGGTTTTGTTTAGTTTCATAGATGTCTTCCATTTTGTTTCGGATTCTGTGTTTTGGGCACCAAAATGGGCCAAACAGCTCTGAAACAAAATAGCTGCTGAAATTTCACACAGCCCTACCAATTAGTATTATTTAGTAAGTTTTTACTAAAATTCTTCTTTTAAGCAGCTGGAGTACCCTCATTCACACTTAAGCATGTCTACCATTCTCTATTTCCTTAGTCAGTACCAGTATATATTTGATTTAAAGAACATACTTCCTAACTTAAAAGTAGATCAATTTATTTATTTATTGGAATGTGAGGGTTTTTTGCTATTCTTTTACTTGTCTTTAAAACTTTGCTTACTGACAGAACTTTCTTGTACCAATCTGGTACCTTTCTTTTGTTGGAGACAGTTTCTGAGGTGACAAATGAAATAATCTTTCAGATGTTGATCTTTGCCTGTATAAGAAAGTGTTTGTCAGCTATGCTTCTATAGCTATACTAACAAACCCTCATAACAGAAAAGTTCTTCTGCCACTGTAACTTCATACCAGTTCTCTGAATTAAATAACCTACACTAGCAGAATGATTTTTTTAAGCTAGTATTATTTTATTTACACTAGGGCAGGGGCGGGCAATTATTTGGGCCTTCAGGCCATATAGGGAATTTTGCTGAGGTGTTGTAGACTGGGTCATCACCCCTTTGCCCCCCAGCACAACAACTCACCAAAACTCCCTATGTGAGATGGGGACACAGGGTGGGCAGGGAACCCTGTTTGGGAGCAGGACAGGTGGGCAACACCAGGATCATGGGGCGGGGTCACAGGGCAGTGACAGCACAGGGCTGGGGCCTGGAGCAGGGCCAGAATCCACTTCCTGTATGCCCCTGTAATGGGCGCAGGTTGTGCAGTCAGGGACATGCAGGGAGTGGATCATGGCTCAGCCCCAGCACTGCACTGTTACTGCCCCACAATCCCAGCCCAGGATACATCTCCCCACCCACATGCCCCCCTTGTGTGGCTTCTGGCCAGTCTCCATGGAGACCCCAGAATCTCGGGGCAGTGACAGCATGGGTCTGGGGTAGAGGCACGATGCACTCCCTGCACATCCCTTCGGGCGGCCACGGACACATCCCCAGAATATAGGACATCCTTTTGGTGAAGGGCAGGACCACTGCCCCTTGGCAAGTCAGTATTGAGGGGTGGGGGCCACCACCTTGGCCAATAAGCAGCAAGGGGTGGGGCCACTGGGACCTTTGGCCAATCAGTAGCAAGGAGCAGGGCCATCACAAAAAGACCGCTATTTGGTCCATGAACCCCACGCTGATGAATGCATGGCACCTTGTGAGATGAGCAAGAGCAAGTGCTAAGACCAGCAGCAAGTTTGTGAGCCTCTGCAGTTCAGCCAACAGGGAGCCTTGCCTCCCCCTGCATCATGGTTTCACATATCCCACAGCTCAGCTATTCTATCCAGACAGTCCAGCCTTGAGAGAATGTGGCATAGCTGATGTGAGGCTTGAGCAACCCCTCCCCCCACTGAGATCCGATCTCACTCCAGCCCAGCTCCAGACTTGGGAGCCAGGGGCACACACTGCACAGGGACCTCCCCTCCCCCCATCAGTATTCAGCAGAGACGTTGGGTACCCAGGAATCTGCCCTGGGCACATTCTGGTCAGAGCTGGGCTGAGTGGCGTCAGTGGGCATTGGATGCCTCTGGCAGTGCAGCCAGCTGCCCAGCAGTACCTTCCATTCCTCCCACAGAAGACAGACAGGTTTGCCTGTCCCAGAGGAGAACTAATGGTTTAATGAGCCAGCCCAGCTGCTCAGGAGTCCAGAGCTCTGCCCAAAGCTTCCTCTCCCCACTCAGTAGAACACCCCAGGGACTCACCAGACTGCTCTGTAAGTGTAAAGATGGTGACAAGAGCCTCCTCCCAGTCCCACTGGTGTTCCAGCAGATACAAATGCAATGCTCCCCCTCCCTGCTCTCAAAGCCATTACCTTGTGCTGAGGCAGTGCAGGGAAGTATGTGTGCTAACCAAGTGCCCGCTCCAGCAGATTAGTTGCCCCAGGGTCCAGACCCACCTGCACACGCCAAACATGCAGCAGTGCCTCAGCTCCTGCTGTGCCTGCACATGCACTGCAACCATGGCTCCTCGCACAGGTGCAGAGGGTAGGGCGGCCATCATAGAGGACATTCTGGTTTTCTACTACTCTGTGCTCTGTCCTGTATTGATACAAAATCCGATGCCTTTATGTCCTCTATTTCTCTCTTCAAGAGAAAAATAGAGGACATAAAGGCATCTGGTTTAGTATCAATAGAGGGCAGAGGACAACCAGACTGTCCTCTATGATGGCCACCCTAGCAGAGGGGCCAGCCTCTAGGATCCTTCAGCTCCCTCCTCCCTGGGTGGCTCAGAACATGCTCCTCCTAGCTGTGCACCACCCCACCTCTACAGCCAATAGAATCGTGGGAACAAATGACTGATATCCATTTCTACCAATAAACTGAAAAACAGGAAGGGACAGGCAGACAACCCTAGCAAGGTGTGGGGCCCAGGGCAAATAAGCCTGTGCAGGGCCCGGATGCGAAGAAGCTGGCAGCAGCGGTGGGGGAGGGCATGAGCAGCCGGACACGAAGCCAGCAGTGGCAGCGGCACGGAGCCACCAGCATTAGGTGGGCCCTACAGGAGGGGCTGTGGCCACTCCACCTAGCTCTGTGCCCCCCCACCAAAGCATGGGGCCCAGGGTGGTTGCCCCGATTCGCACCCCCTTGGAATGGCCCTATGGACAGGGAACAGAGGGATTAAAAACATAATAGTCTAGTATAATACAGGTCCAGTAGCCACCTTAACATTCCTGCCCACAGACTTGGGGCTCTGGCCTGGCCCCAGCCCCAGCCCTGGCCCCACACTGTCACAGCCCCATGATCCCAGGGTCTCCATGGAAACTGGCCAGGAGTTACACAGACAGTGCATGTAGTTTGACAGGGAGTTGTGTCTGGGGCCTGGATCATGGGGCAGTGACAGCGCGGGGCCACAGCCATGGCAGAGCTGTGATCTGCTTCCTGCATGCCCCTGCCAATGGAACCCATGCCCATTGCAGGGGCATGCAGGCAGCGGATCGTGACTCTGCCCCGGGTTCCAACCCTGCGCTGTCACTGCCTTAAGCTCCCAGGGCCCTGGCCCTGCCTGCCCATCTTGCTCTAAGCCCCACACCCTGCCAGCCATGGCATGATCCCAGCCAGCCCATGGCATGATCCCAGCCACCCAACCATGTGCCTTGCTTGCTCAGGATCTGACCCTGGTGGTGGGTGCAGGTTGGATGAGCCAGAGTGCCCTGGCACTGGGGCTAGTTCTGAAAGTGGCAGCCAGGAGTTGCCGCCACCGGGGCTGCCAGGAAATGGAGTCCGGCTGCCATGCCAGCACAACTCTACTTTGTGCCCAGGGGAGTGGTGAGGGGAAGAGAATGGCTGCTTGTGCCATGGCCTGGGCTGCCCCTCGTGCCTGGGCTGGGCAGAATGGAGAAACCCACTGTGGGCCAGGCAAAAGCCTTCTGTGGGCTGTATTTTGACCACCCCTGCACTAGGGCCATTGTTAGCTTACTTAACTCAGTTAAAGCAGGGGTTGGCAACCTTTAAGCAATGATGGGCCAAATATATGTGTCTTTGAAGTCATTCTGATATTTGTGGCCCAGCCACCATTGCTGTTTTTCCTGAGTGCTGATTGCCATTGATTCCCCGAGCTGCTGAGTGCCACTGGCCCAGCACGGTGGGCTGGATAAAATCTCTTTGCAGGCTGAATCCCACTGTAGGCCATAGATTGCTGACTCCTGAGTTAAAAGTACAATAGTTTTAAATGTATCAAGTCTCAGTAACTAGGTGTTCTTACAGTTGAATGTAAGATGAAGTTGAAAAAATAATATTACAATTGTTAGTGACAGCATGTGACTTAAAAACAGAAAATAAAAATGTACTTTTTTGTGCTGTTCTTTTGCAAGCTTCAAATTATTAACAATTCTGTAAAAATACTTGTTGTTTGCTAAGAGTACGGTCAATGCTACGGCCAGTAAAAAAGCATATTTTTGGAAATCATGTGAAAACATTATTAGTTTTTGGTAGATTTTTAAAATAATATCTGTGTATTAATACTTTGAAAGAGGGAATCTGGTGTCATATTATAAAATGTAATGTTTGTTTCCCATATCTAACTCTACCATTCATCTCAATTTCATTTTGTAACATTTTTGCCATCATGAGCCTCTTGCAATAAGAAATAGTCAGTTCCATTGACCTGGGTAGCAGTTTTCACAAAGGCAACAAAAACCTTATAACATCGGGAATTAGGGACCCACAAGAGTTTCTTACATAATTTCCTGGCAATATGCCTATATGTAGTCAAATATGTGTTCATTGGGCCCACTTAACATCAGTGTGTCTACTTTCTTTACCAACCTGATAGGGTTACATATAGGAAATCTTCAGAATTTTTATACTTAGGGTAGCCTAACTCATTGTATAAAACTTAGATCACTAGAAATTAAATCACTGTATTATGGGCTACATTTAGGTTAAATAGGAAAAAAATACAAAGATATGGCATATATTATGGCATAGACCAGGGGTTGTCAACCGGTGGTATGCGTACCACTGGGGGTACTTTGAAAGGTCCTAGGAGGTACACAGGGGCACACGAGGATGGAGCACTGCCACTCCGCACTGCTGGCTCCCTGCTCTGGGTTCGCTCCACCACTTGCAACCTCCCCACACCAGGGTACACTTATTAAAAAAGGTTGAACACCCCTGGCATAGACCATTGTGCTGCCCCACCAATGAAAAAAGTAATTGATTTAGTATCTTAAAAAGCAAATACTGGGCACTCCAGTTGGCACTCTAGTGCCAATATATCCTTATTTCCTGGAGGAAACATCAGTTCTGGTAGATATATATTTCAGAAATCTTTTTGTAATTGAAGTTCTCCTTGCAAATATATATTCCTGTAAATTATTTCATCAGTGGACCCTGTATGAAGCAATTATTGCCTTGATATTACCATTTTCATTGTTCTGTGCATCACCAACTGAATGTAGTATTTGTCATCTTTTGATTGGTTCCCAGTGTTGTAGAGGAAGACAGATTTCTCTACAAGGAAAAAGTTACATAAATCACATCAGACAACTGAACTCTACGTCATTCACTGTTTAATACTTCATGATGTAATGTTGAAGTTTTGGAAGTCATACATTTCTTTCAATTCACTTTGGGTTATCAGGGTGCCAGTTCTAAATAGGTGAAAGTTTAAATGAAGACTCAGAAAATTGCTCTTGTGTGGCTTATCAACGTTGTTTTAAAAAAATAATAAAAATAGTATCAACAGTGTGTTCTACTGACTTTTACAAACAAAAATATTTCCAAAATTAAAATTGCACAGTGGAACATTTTGCAAACCTGTGATATGTTCTGTGTCCAATGTATTACAGATAATTTATATTACCTTTAATCTGATATTAAGAGCTATTTTATGTTCTGAAGGGTTAGCATAATTGTTTCTTGTAGTGGTGAATTGAGCCTGGTGTACTGTAATGGCCCAGTAGAGAAGAAAGCCAGAGAGAAACCATGAATGTGGCCAAGGAGAAAATTAAAAATCAAGACATTTCTGAGGGAGTTTATAGGGAGGTTTGGGAGACATTATCTCTGATGGTGCTAGTTTAGAGGAAAGAATTAAGCAGAGAATCCTTACAATACAGACATTTGAATAAGATCCGTTACTTAGCGCTTAAAATACTTTGTGGAACCTGTTTGGTCTCAAAACTGCACTATATCTGGCTTCCTATTAATTTTTTTGTCTCTGTTTGGTTTAAGACATGGTACCAGTGCCACAAAAACAGTCTTTCTGCAGTATTTTGGGAGTTCTGCTGGTTGTTGGTTTTAGTTCAAGATTGTTACTGGTTTTTAAATGCAATCTCACTTCTCATTACTTCTGCCAGAACCCGAACTGTTTGATGTACTAACAGCAAATGCCAGGTCCCCTGTCACTAAGGACAATAGAACAGAAAGTGTATAGAAGTAAAGACTGAGGTAAGTTTAATATAATACTTAACTAATAATAAAATACTTTTACATAATACTGATGCTTCTGTAATGTAGCATGGCTGTATTTTCTAATTCAGACTTTACAACTGGTTCTTGCTTCTCCTACTCCCTGGTAGTCAACAGGAAGTGTGGCATAGCATAATGTCATTCAGCCTGTGTGGCAACCTTAACCTTTTGTTGAAATTTGACCTTTTAGTAGGAGCTTGGCTATGAACTGGCTGCCCTTTCATTAGTCACTGCTCTGTATTGGAATGAACAAACTATTCAGAGAGGCAGCAATCAGGCTTCTGGTCAGCTCAGCATCCTCCAAGTATTGTGGGCATTAAGTATAAACCAAGCAGGGAAGATGAGGGTGGCTTATCTGGCTTACTTTTTCCTCAGTCTTCTCAGACCTGCATTTGAAGGGAGAGGGATGAAGGAGGGAGAAGAGGAGTAGGGGAAGATGGGGGTTACCCCAAGTATGGTAGAGGACAGCAAATTAGACGTGAGTTTACAAAGGTGAAACATCACAATATTCCCTGTAATAATGCATTCAGTTTGGGGTTCCATGTTGCCAGGCAGAGTATCAGGAGCATGGAAGGAATTAAATTACCACAAATTAATTTAATTTATGGCTTCAGCCACGCAACATGACAAGAAGTATATAAAAGATGCAAATATCATACCAAAGAGGAAAAAGAATTATTTAGGACTGGCATTTTCAATGTAGCCCAATGCGCTTTGAGGATCTAACTCCTTCAATCTTCTTTGGAAAATACAAAATCAGACTAATGCATAGTGGTATAACTAAGAATAACAGAACAAAGTTAAGGCAATTTAGTTTGGAAACTGGGAAAAAAAGGCTTTCTGACAATGCAATGTATTCAGACCTCAAATTAGACTGGAGAAAATATATTGTAGAAAATACTGTTTACTGGAAAGAATATGAACTGACAAATTTAATATGACTTTTCCATTTCTGCCTTCCCTAATTAGTTTTATTAAAACCAATTTGCTTTATGCCTTTTGAGATGTCACAGTCTAAAATGGAATCTATTCAGCCCAGGAAGAACTGTACTATTTTTGCATGAGTTATTGTAGCTCGTGGGGGATAGGAAAGAAAGTAAGAGGTTTCATGGTAGCTGTCAGGCCCCTACATAGTGCATTCAGGTACTTACCAACGTAAGGGGAGTTGCTGCTGGCCCTAGTAGCCCTTCAGCTGCCCCAGTTTGGCAAACCTGGGAGAAAAAGAATATGTAATAAGGAATTGTGTTAATATTCCTCTTACATTAATCTGTAAGAGCATTGACCACAGACTCGTGATAATACTGAAATTTAATATCTTACAGCAGGGATGTCAAACATATGGCCTGAGTGCTGAATCCAGCCCATGGAACCCTGCTATCTGGCCTCCCATGCAGCCCCCAGGTCTGATCAAACCCATATGAGGCACGGTGCATGCCCATCGTGCAAGGCCAGTTCATGGGCTAGATCTGGCCCTTGGACCTCCTTCCCTTTACCTTCCCCCTCTACCCTCCCTCAGCATACCTGACCTGGTAGCTACTCCAGCTGGTCTGAGATCCATGCAGATCCCGGAATGACTGGAGTGGGCATCGTGTGTGGCACAGTCTGGCCAGTTCAGCAGCTGTGCGGCATGTAGTGGCCACCCTATCTGGACTGCACAGTAGGGCTATGATAAGCTTTGGGTGCTGATTCAATTCGGGGGTGATTCAGCCCGATTTGGTGGCCGAATCTCCAAATCCAAATCAAATCAGGGGACCAGTGAAAAGGTCCAAATCGATTCAAAGCTCTCCTAATTGTTTTGGAAAAGTTTCGGAGAGCTTCAGTGATTCAGGCAGTCCCTGCTGGCTGCATCAGGGAGCTGCACCCGGACTCCATGCTGGTAAGTAGCGGGTGGGGGAGGGGAGGCTGGAGGAGGGAGGAGGGGAACATGGGGGGGACCCCTGCCAGGCCCAATTTCTCTGCCTGCTTCCACAGTCCCCCTGAGTGCTCCCCAGCCCCCGCCCACTCTCCCAGCCCTCCCCATTGCTACCCCACCTGAGCCCAGCTCCTCGCTCTTTAAAAGAAGCCCCCAGTCACTGGCTGCTGCCGGGCAGGGTGGCGATCCCCAGTGCCCCCTACTGCTCCGCGCTGCATCGGGGGCTCTGTCATGAGCCCCCTGACCCCTGCCTCCCATGGCTGCCCTGCCCACCCCAGCTTCTGGCCCTTTAAAAAAAAACCCCTGACCTCACCAGCTGCTGCAGCAGCCTTGGGGCTTCTGGGGGGCGGTGGGGATAGCCACCACCACCTGGAAGGATCCAGTGAGTGTGGGGCCTTTTTTTTTTAAAGGGCTGGGAGCTGGGGTGGGCGAGGCAGCCATGGGGGTGGAGCTGGGGGAGAGGGAGGGGGTACACAGCACAGGGCAACTGGGGGTAGCGGGGATCACCACCCCTGCCTGGCAGCAGCCAGTGACTGGGGGCTTTGTTTTTCAAAGAGCCGGGAGCTGGGAGAACAGACAGGGCAGCCACTGAGAGCGGGCAGGGGATGGGGCTGATTTGGAGATTCAGCCAATTTGGCTGTGGCCGAATCTCCGAATCAGATTTGGCTGAATCGATTCAGGACAGTGATTCGAATCACCAGATTGAATGACTGTTCCCTGAATTGGCCGAATCTGAATCCAAAGCGAGGACTAGCCACTTTGCACAGGGCTACTGCACAGTACTCACCACATGCTCTAGGACACACCACACGGTGCTCACAGGCACTGCGTGCAGCTTGGGTCCGTGTTTGACTGGAGCAGACCAGGAGCTTTTGAAACCAAGACATTCTTTCTCAGGTTACCTGAAAGCTTGTCTAACTCCATCCCAAATACATAGTTGGTCCAATAAAAGATATCACTCTAAGAAATCTTTGCCTCTCACATAAATATATTAGACATTTTCATAAGTACCTAAGCAACTTGAGAGCTGAAATACCATGGAAGATCAATTGGGCTTCCTTTCCAAAGTGCTTAGGCACTGCTGAAACTTCAATCTGTATTAATCTTTTCATAGTTAAAAAAGATACTTGCAATTATTGCTCTACTGTCCAGGAGTCTTTCCAATTTAAAACCAACCTGTCTCAAAAATATATCTTCCTTTCTCTGCATTTGTCTTCCTTTCTCTCAAATTTCTCCCTACCTGAGGCTCAAGATAAGCAAGATCCACTACAGTTCCAGCAATGGCTGCTCTAGATCTAAAAGAAGTCTTGATTTAAAAATCATACCTCTGGGTACTCAAGGACCAAAACCTGTTTTTCTTATAGTTAAACCCTTGGAAGGGACTCAGTTATTGCTTCTTATGTGGCAAAAAAATGTATCGTCCTATACATATCAACCATTATATCATATTTTTAGATGCAGAAATATTCAGGTCACCTTTAAAGAATAAATAACATCTTGTTTGTTCTGAAAATTCCTTCTGCCTTGAGTGAAAGTCCCCCCACGCAAACAAAATTATGAGCTTGTGTATACAAGGTGTGGCAGTAGATGGTACTTTGCACATTTTATGGCTCTGATCCTCCAGAGGGCTCTGTTCAGGTCTGTTCAGGTCACCCCAAAGACTCATTGACTTCACTAGAACTACAGTTATGTATTAGGGCCTTCTGGGGTTGATTCTTTTGCACAGTGGGACTTGTATATAAGAGCACAAGACTTGCTTTTTCAAAATATGCAGCACTAACAAGGGCAATATTAAAATCAGTGAGATTTGTACGATCAGGAGAAGACTGCTAAATTAAGTTTATATTTCAAAAGATATGAAAACTTTAAGCTTAAGATATTTAATAGTATATATTTCAACAGCTTGGTCTTTATTTTACCATAGAAGAATCAAATGTGTTGTAAAAGTTGAGATAATTTATTTTGACTATTCCACTATATCACAATTGATTCTGTTAAAAAAGCAAAATATGCCATATTTTGCAAAGACAAAACAAAGATACAGCAATAACCTATGGTAGATAATTAAATAAATGAAATATTTGGGAACATATCTTTTATCAGTTATAAAATTCTCAAAGAACACCAGACATAGTCTTATGTATTAGACGTTATTGATAATTATAGAGTATTATAAATCAGAGACACAAAATGTTTTAACTTCAGTTGACTGTCAAGTAACCTCATGAGTAGAATTGTTACACTACCAATAAGAGAAGCAAAATCAAGCTCCTTTTGCTTGGAAGGTGGATTAAGAGTGGAAAACCCCATTGTCAGACAAATACATTACTTACACATAAAATCATGTAATGTACAGGTTACTGAACCTTTTAACTTGTGATTTATGGGAGAATAAATATACATGACATAAAAAGTCCAGATAAATTCCTTTTAAAACATGGGTGCCATTTGTGACTGTATTTTGATGAGGAAGACATATACACCAGGAAGAAGATTAAGTTACTACCTCATTATATACAGTATATGTAACAGCCATGGTCACAGCCAGTCTAAGCTGGATCTGTTAAAGTGACCTAGGGATGGAAGCTTCTGTAAGTCTGATTACCAGTTCTCTGAATCATCACTAAATCATTTTTTTCACTGAAAATTCTTAGTATGAACAGGAGTGAAATTTTAGAAAAGCCAGGTTTACCTTTCAAAGTCATATTACATCAAGCCTCAACATTTAAGCTGTTTTGCATGTGGGAAAGACAGACTGTAATAAAGCAAATGGTTGGTGTATTAGCCTAGCTACTGAAACTAAAGTTTTGGCTGTATATTAAACATTTACATTAATAAAAATGTGTGGGGTTTTTGAATGCTCATTATTTTTGTTATTGTGTTAAAAACATACTTATGTTTTGTTAATTGGATAAAATGAAGTTGGATCTCCTTCTGGAAAAATGCTGTCTAACTTGGGAAATAGCATACATCTTCAGTTGATACAAATTGAATTTTTATCCAGAGTAAGAATTTTTGGATTGTGCTTTATATTTGTCCACCATGAAAGAAGCACCAGAAATCTCACAAGAGAACATGTTTCCCCTTAACTATATCTAGCCTGATTTTTAGATCAGAAAGGCACAAAGAAGCATGTAAACTTTTGAATTCTATGCATATTGAATCTGAATTTTTAAGCTCATTTTTTCACTCATTTTAATCATCAACTGTTGTTCAAAGTGGCTCTAAACCATAAATTCATAAGCTTGAAACTTTTGCAAGCAGAATAAAAGAGCTGGAGTTTGTGATCTGTGGGAAGGTAAATTCCAGGGTTAATTTATAACTAAAGTAAATGAATCTATAAAAAGAAGAAAAGGTCCATAATAAATATGTTAACAAATGATGAGAAAAAGAGGCTTGATAAAAGATATCAGAACTTGTTTGGTCCCAGTGATTTTATGACAGAGGAATTCAATTATAGGTGTGTTTGGGAGGAGCAAATCATAATTCTGTAAATTACTAATGGGACACAAAGCTCTTTATCATGTTCTTTATGTGTTTACATGCAAGGTTGGTCCTGCCCTCTGTAAATAAACTCTTAGCACCTACGCTATGCACCTATGTAGAAATTCGGTGTCACAGCAGAAGGAACACAGATACAGCTTGGGCTGAATCATTTTTCAAACATGTGGGCAGTGCCATTTAAAATGAGGTTAGTCAACAGATTGCTTTTCCTTACTCTTGCTTTATAATTTGTCAAGTTTTTTTTATTTAATTCTCTGTGCAATAGTAACTGTATTGAGCTTCTTACTAAAAACTTGGGATCTGATACATACAGCACCAATATACTGTGGAGATGAATTAAATTAATTGTATTAGGTTGAATGTATTTAGTCTTGTGTTACATTTTCTTTATATAAGGCTTTAAACCTGTAATTTAGATAATGACTCTTCTTACTTATCCAAGAGGTAGATTAGCCTCAGGTCAATTGCAAATTAACTCCTAGGGCCTACCCTTAACTTAAATTGATTTTAAGGGCTGCCAGTTACTTGATTCTGAAATCAATAAACCAGTATCTTTTGTCAGTCATTGAAAGGAGGGTTCTTTCTGGAAATGCAAATCTAAATACTTAGGGGCACCCATTCTAATAGTAATTGCAGGAATATTTTAGGAAGCCAAACTTTGGTTGCAGAGCAGTTACAAAGTACAAAGTAGTTAGGACAATTCACATGTCTCCAGTGAGGATTCCACCCTAATATGTGCAGTTTTACATAGACTCACATAATCTAGTGAATAATTTCTCACTGATTAGAGACTCCTGC